TCATCATCAGTTAGCATTGCCATTCCTAGCACCACACAAAAACTCGTCAAAGAGACAAGTGAAGTCGATCCTTTGACCAATTGTCTGATAAAAGGTTGTATTTGTCCTTCATTCATGGACTATTTCATGTCTTCATATAACTTCTTCAATATCATAATGTCCAATTTTTTATCTTAATCTGCTGGTTTCTACACCCCTCCCATTCTGCCGGAAGTGTTGATCAAAGGCCGTAAATTAATCCTCAAGTTCAAGATTAGATATTATTTTCTGCAAAATAATCTCGATAAATCCTTCTTCTAAGAAAATGGGTTTCGAAAAATCGATACTGGCATGACTTTCATTAAATTTTAGAAGGCAAGTGGAAGTGCTTCATAGATTGGCCTCATCAGATAACTAGGGACGGTTGCCTTGGATTTTGTCGGCTGAATTATGCGAGGTAGACTTCGGGTCATCGTCATAAGAACCCGATGACTCCGTGCGGAGCTTGTGTTCGTCATGTGACGGATATCCTCAAAACCAGAAACCATAATTGAAATACAATCAGCAAAAACTTTAAACCAAGAAAAGTGAGCAGCCAAGATCTCAATTATTTCTTATACATCGTTTTGCAATCTTAATGAGGCATTTCAGGATTTTCCTAAGATGTATTTAACCCATTTTGTTTAAGCTGATGAATGATTGGAAGTTGAATTTTCCCACAATGATATGAATATAGCTACCATTTCCATTGAATTCCCCATAGCCTTGCTGTCCAAAAATTTCTTCTTATCCAGACAGAAGTGGACTGCAGTTTCGACCTCGCCTAGGTCTTAGCAACACCACAGAAGGAGTCTGACCAGCTCGACACGTTATCCAATCTGCCACATTGCCACTTTATCTTTCTCTCTCTCTCTATCTCTCTCTCTCTCTGAACATCTTCAGCAGCCAAAGATAGTTGTTACTAAGTTTCATACATTCGTTCCTCTTATTCAGGATATTTTTTGCCTTGTTAATTTAAATCAACTCCATGATCTTCAGCTTAGCTGTTAAGTTCCCATATCCAGCAAAACGTTGGGATTTAGACCACTCTATCTGGTATCCTTTAGCGACCACATGTTCAGCCACTTCCGATTTCTGAAACCATAAACCTTTGGAGGCGGTTCTGTGTTCTTTCAGTTTCTTATGTATGGGTCGACTAGTCCTCTCTGCATAAACACTATCACATGAGCAGAAAACCTTATTAAAACCTCTATCAGCAGAGGGTGTCTGAAGAAACTCTAAAAGAAGGCATGATCGAGAAGGTTTTGAATTTCTTTAAACATGGTCTTGGACTTTCATTTTCTCAGTAAATTAACTAAATTTCTTAAAAGCTGGCAGAATGGTAGCATTAGAAACCTGGACAAGGAATTGTTTGTTTCCTTGTTTTGTCCATATTTCTTAGTATTCTGAAATTATTAACAATTAATCCTAACAGATAATTGTTCAGAACTAAGATTTTTCTTATTCTTTCTAACTCCTGCTCCTGATGCTTTATGTCCACTAGTCGTAAACCCCTTAGTTTCCTATATAGATCTCTGCCCAATTTCTACCCTTCTTAAATAACTGGGACTTTTAAAAGAATAGTTTGCTGTCCTCTTTTAACTCTATAGTGTATTTAATCGCATTATTTAACCTATTCATTAACCCAAGGAATTCTTCCAAACACTATTTGCTATGCTGTAAGCTAGCAATGTAATCATCCATATATCTGACTAATAGTTTCAGAACTAGAAGTGACGCTTGAAAAAGCCGAATTTCCAATTGAGCCATGTAGTTTTAAGATAGATTTGAGACAAACACGATCACATAGATAAACCTCCGATTTGCTCGTACAATTTACTATTAAAGATAAAATATCTATTACTTATTATTAAGATCATCAATCTCATTACTGACTCCTTGCATATCGTATTTCGTAAATAGAATCTCTGGGTGTAGATCTAAGGTTAGTTCTAAGGCCTGTATGGCCTCACTTACCGGTATATTAATGGGCATCGACACTATTGTAAAACTTATAAATAAATCTTATTGTTCCATTATTATTGATTTATTCACTTAATAACGTTATAAGAATTCTTTATTGAAAATTTTCAAAAACCTGATATTTGCTTTAATTGACCACAAAGGAATCATGATGTTTTAGGCATCAAACCACCCTAACTGTTTGGGATGATCTTAAGTGAAGCCCCCTCTTTGTGGATTTTTGGCAGACCATATATATTAGATCTAGCGTCATTTTGGATAAGTACATTCATTTTCCATTTCGCCAATTCTCCACTATTAACGCATTTTTGCAAACAACTCTTAAGTCTCGACTTTTGTGCTTCTGTAGGGTCCATAGTTATAATTATATACATATCTAACTCAGCTAAAGCACGCATTATCATTTATATATAATCTGTCTTATTAATAACTACAACTGCTCCTCTTTTGTCTACCCTCAAAAAAATTTACTCGTGTTGTCTAAGCTTCTTAATGATATTATTAACCAACCTATTCGTATATGTTGCTTTTACATTGTTATCAGTCAGAGGAACAACATGTATTTCAATATCACTTCTAGTTTCTTATGCAAACAGAATTAGGATCTCTTGATAGAAATTCTTCGGTGGAACTGACCAATGATGATTTTGACAGGTTAACCACTTTCCTACCTATCTTAATTTTCCCTTCTGGGGATAAATTCCGACTATTATTTAAAATGTGTAGTAGTAGTGTGTTCGAATAAATCTTGTATTTCAATTATTTCTCATTAATAAATCGTTACGTAATTGTTAAGAAATACTCCATTATATAATGTGTCAGCTATCGATTAAAGCCTCAGTAAATCCTCATAATTAAAAGTATCAGGCTAAAATTTCCTTAATCTGGTTTGGATTCGGATCAAATTATGTAATCTTGTAGTATTATAAGGAGTTTCTTTAGCGGAAAATTGGTCAAATGATCGACTTCACTTGTCTCTTTGACGAGTTGTAGCGTGGCGCTATGAATGGCAAAGTTCACTGGTGATGCCATTTACGATGCCGGCGAAATGTCTGGGAATGTATAAGGACCATGATCCGACTTGGAAAATTATCATGCATATGATGAACTTCGGATAAGGTGCGTTCATCGAGGTCTATCTGCCAATATAAGCATGTTTCGGAAACAGCTCAAATCACCATTATAAACAATCTTGGTCTTCATACCTTCAATTTTTCTGATAATACTTTTAATGTAAATAGCATGGGATGTCAAAGTATTTTAATTACTTCTACTTATTTCAATATTCTAACATATAAGAAAAGGATGTCAAAGTATCCATTCCATAGACAATGCAAAAATGTGTGGAATGGTAACAGTTAAATGATATCTAAATACAAAATATATAAATAAATATGAATATTTATTTAAATTAATTATGCACTTACATTATGTCACATTAGCTCAAATAACATCTTTCAGCGGAGGTAAGGGTGAGTTCGAGTATTCGAGGTATTTGTAGCACGAAGTTTATAAGATCCTTTAAAGATTTAATAAATGAGAAAAAAATTAATTCTGTCCGGATATTAATTTGTATGTAACCTAAAATTCATTCAATAAAGCCTGACAAATAATTTTCATAAACAAAGCACCAATCAGAAATATTATTTTGTCAAACCATAAATGAGGAAGCCGTCAAAAGCTGGTGACAACGCAATGATAAAATAAAATTTTAAATTATTTCACACGGAAAGGCTAAGCTACATTCTATATTAAAGTAAATTACGTCATGATTTTAACCTAGCAGAATTTGTAAACAAGGAAATCTGAATGTTTGATATTAGGGAAAATCCATAATGAAGATATAGAATAAATGGAAATGAACCTGGATGCTAAATAAAGTGTATTTTAGGATAGCTCAATAAGCTATGAAAATATTATCAAATTTTCCAGATTAATATTATTATAAATACTAAAAGAACCAGTATGAGCCCAAAAATAATTACTAGTTATGTAGATATAGGTGAATTTGTAGAATAACGTTTATTAAATCAAAGATATGAAGGCCAAAATGGCTCTCAGTATACGGTAGTCTCATTTCGATTTATAGAAGTGGATAATCATTTCTGCAGAACGTTGGCCAAGAGATTGTTTTTACTTGCCTCTTTGACGAGTTTTGTAGCTTGGTACGGAGAATGGAAAGACCCACTGATGATGTCGACTAGTCTGCCGGTACTAGGCCCACAGTCTGATACTGGTATTTATTATAACTACTATGGCAGAGGACATCGGACAAGGTGCGTTCAACTAAGTCGCCCTGACAACAAGACCAAGTTGCAAAAATGAGTTCAACCCACTTCTAGGATTTATTAAATTTATAAAAGCCTATTTAAGCTGCATAAGGAAATCAGATCGAATTCGAAATACGTTATATGTATATGAATTAAGTTATTGAGAGGCACAACTTTCATTAATATGCTTCAGCTAATTAAAATTCATTATAAAAATCAAAATAAGATACATTAAATATCAACGTCAATTATGATGATATACTGGCATATATCAATCAATAACAATAGAGAAGTAAATTTTACAATTGCCCAGTGATATTGTATTTATCGCAATCCTTTAATTATATACAGCATAAACACTACCAATAAGAAAATTAATCGATTCAGATAAACAGCAATTAAATGTAATCAAGTACTTAAAAGGCTACGTTCCGACACAGCTGAAAAATAGCTTAAAATATATCCCCATAAAAAAGTTGCGACGTCTATGATGTTGTCAAAGGTGGAAAGTCGTGAGGCCAAATTCATAATCCTTAAAGATCTATGGGCTTAATACGATAAACGAATAAATGCAGCTGAACTCATAATAAAACGTAATGAAAAAAATATAAAAAAACGGCTATTATTTTGAAATAGAAAATGGAATCAACCAGGCAGGTTCTCTGAAATAGTCCAGACCTTGCAAATAGCATTATAAAATGACTTGTGTTTCTATGATCAGAAGTAGTCCTATTTTGAACTCTCCTTACCTGAGGTTGGATCTATTCCTGCCGAATAGTGCGTATTGTAGTCAATGTATCCACCCGATGCTGCAGCCGCTACAGCCGCCGCTGCCGCTGCTGCTGCTGCTGCCACACCTTGTTCATTATTCGACCCGATGGATATTGCACTGGAGGGACTTCCACAGTTTACCAAGGCAGATGAAGTGATTATGCCGCTCGATCCTGAGGTCGCAATTCCTGCCGGAGTAGGAGAAGCCGAGTTATTTAGGCCGACATGAACGACGGGACCAATGCCCAGTGGTACCGTAAATCCTAAGGTTGAGGATGAGGTAGAGGTAACTGATGGAGGACAAGATGATAAAGGAGATGAAGATGCAGAAGGAGTTCCACCAATTAATCCACCGATAAGCCCTGTGCTAGGCGTAGAGGTAACCGGAAGACTGAGTGGCATACAAACGCCGGAAGTAGAACCGTTTAGTAAACCGTTTGCAGAAGTCCCGGAACCTGCGTGCACCCCAGATAAAAGGGCTGCAGCGGCATAGAATTGATCTATACAAAGGGAATAGATAATCGAATGTAGAAAAGTATAAAGTAGCATTCTTCAACGTAAAGTAGTCACAATTCTAAGATTTGAAGATGTAATGATGAGTAATATTGTAATTGAACTTATATTCTAAATTTTCAATAGCGAATATATATTCATATTTCACATCAAACCCTTACAGAACGACACATTATATGAATGTAGAGATGATAAAACAGAAAACTTGGAGGCCTTAAAATAAATATACACAGATATACGGAAAAATATTATAATTGTAATGCCTCGACATTTTAAATTCTAATGAAGGATTTGTCTTGTATTTAATTAATAGCATAAGATGTATTCACCTTATTTAATTAATAAATATGTTTCCGAATTTTAAAATTTGCAATAAAACAATCACGCTTAAAGAAGAAATGAGAGAAAATCTTAGCTCTAGACAGTATCCATATAGTTGGTGACCAATAAAAAAATTATTATTATTATTTATTTATTTTCAGAAGCAATATACAGTTTGAAATAATCTGAATATAATAAGGGAAAAAGAAGAAATACGCCCGATTTTAATCAGCATCAGATGTTCTTATCTTAAAGTTATCATCCATTTCAAGCCTAATAAATCGAAATATGGGATTAGATTCTGTCAGATTTACCTACCAAAGTCTGCTGCATATTAAAATGCATAAAACTCTCAGTTATTCACAAATAATTTTTGGTGAGACAGCTAAAGCTAAACTCACAACACGCCTAAAAGACTTTAATTAGAAAATAATTGTAGAAATTAAAACGATATTCTAGTATAATGAGTTGCAATCTGTATTTATATTATACCAGAATTATCTCATTAAAAATAATGCATGGTTTATTGAACGGTTGATAGAACATGCAGAAACTTTTCAGTTCTAATAATAAAATCTCAAAAGGCAGAAAGCGTTTTTCTTTATATAAAGAAGCCATAGGCCTTATTTCTTTCAATAGAATAAATCAAACAATTTTCCATTTACGATCTTTTACAAAAAAATTCCTTACTTTAAATCACTCATTTAAGGTGTAAGCAATAAAGGCCAATAAATAGTGTATGCAGATTAAGAGCACCTCCAAGTAGAGCATATTTAGATAAAGAGAGGTAATTGAAGCAGACTGAGGGAAACGTGCACTACTTAAAAAAATTAATATATAACTAATAATCTAATTAAACGTACCACTCAAAAGAATCACAGGTATATTAGAAAGCATATTAAGGCATCAAAAAGAACAGGAAAAATCATAAGATTGTGATTTCCGAAATGGACTTTGAATATGAGGTTTAGGCTCCCTGTAAGTAGAACCAAAAGATTTTGTTTTAACCTTTAATAGGTTCTCCCAAAACATAATATTCAAAACAAGTAGGGATTTCGAGGAATTACCTAGTCTATACTTTTTGGCTCAGATCTATTTCTAGTAAAAGTGAATGATGAAGAGACTCTAAGGTCAATCACACTAAAAGATAACAGCAGATTTATCTAGGTCAACTGTCGATTGGCCTTACTGAAACATTCTTGATGGTGGTGTTATCGAGGCAATTATTTTCGCTTCTAGTGAAAGCGTCATATGCCGGGGATCCTCAGAGCAAGGTACCATAACTACACACAAATTCAAGCAAACGAGTCCATAAAACTTATCGACTTATTCTTACTTTCTCCTTGCATACAAGAAATCTATGCATTTTGATAAAACATAAAGTAATAGAAGTTGTTTGACCTTGTTTTCGCAACTCGGTCATATTGGTAGGAAGACTAATTGGAAAGGCCACACGATCTTGGTCTTTATACCTTCGATTAAACATAAAGTAAGTTTGCTAGTTAAAGTCATCTACCATTCTAGAAGCTTGTGAGTGTATCTGTGTGTATTCCTGTCTTCATTTATACGTATATGCACGAAACCAACAGCGATAACTCAAAGCAATCCAGAACCTAGAATACGTCATCCGCCATGATCTTACATTGACTATTACCGCCCCCTTTACATATTTTAACCAGCATCCTTAATGTGTGACATGAGAAGCGCGCTTGATTAAATGGCTGAGCCCTATGTCTATGTGTTAGAAAGAAGGAGTTAACTAAGAAGTATAGCAAGCATGATCGTGAATATAACTATTACAAAAATAGACTAAATAAGAAGAGAAACTGGGTTTCGATGAAACTCCTGAGATAACATTGCTAGGGGGACTTTCATTTCGTATTAAAGTGCATGAATAATAGATCCGTAGTCTATCTCACCAGATGAGGACGGCTGAATCGCGTTGTACTGCAGCCGCTTGGCTTTTATACGACATTCAGGTTAACGCAGTCCACGAGACCTCCTTCCTCGCTTCAAGTGAAAGCGATATGAGATTTCGTTCATCATAAGATGGATATCATCAGAGCTGGGTTTCATTCCTGGAAACCTCTTATATAGACTCATTGTGGGAAAATTCTACTACCAGTCCTTCATCACCTTAGACGAAATAGGGTGAATACATCTCATTAAAATTAAAGAATTAGATAGCTATAGAGTGGTTCTTTCATATTGATCCTGCTACTTTTGCTCGAGTGTGTGTTAGCGTCTATAAGCAATACCGGTCCTAAATCAGAGTTATCAAAAGGCTAATATCAGGCTCTGATTATCAAGGCCTTATGACCCAAGGGAAAACCCTGACCGAGACTGCGTAAATCTGTAAGCTAGTATGGTTAAGATAATGAGATATGAGCTTGTAAGCACATAAGTCAAGTTACGAAATCACTTGCCCTAACCTCTCAGTCTAGGGTCATTAACGTTTAACCCCCAAGGAAAGGCATGACTAGGACTGCATAATCTAGCACATCTGGTTTGGTTGTTGATACAAAAACGCACACACTCGGGCAAAAGTAGCAGAACCAGTATAAAATATAATTAGCCAAACCACTCTATATCTATCCATCTAGGTACTTAATTTTCTCTTGGCATAATTGAGTCTATATAAGGTAAGATAGAGCCGGATAATCTTCTTGCACTAGTATTTACGTGAGAATTTTACAAGAATGAGACCCAGTTCTGATG